ACAAAACATACAGCACTCCCCTGCATTATGGAACTTTTTTTGGGAGCAGGACAGCAAGGGTTAATTAAAATAAACAAACAAACCAAAGCAAACAATATGGCTCTGAAGTAGTGCCAAAACAGGAAAACGGAGCTTTATTTTTGCATAAAGCCAAATGAACGCATGAGAACAACCAAAAGCCAGGAGAGAAGTTTGGCAGTTTGAACTGAAATGCAAATAAACATATTTTCCTATTCATTGTTCTGCCAGCACCACACAAATTGCAGCAACTGCAGTCACCTAAGAAAGAGCAAAATATGTAATGATCATCACAGTAAACGCTCCTGGCAAGTTAGTTAATGATTACTGGGCATATCAGTATGCCAAATGACCTGCCTATATGTTGTCCCGTATAACTTACTTAACTAACAAAAACATTTAAAAAGAATAATTTTAATGTTTTAATGTATAACAGCTAATATGTTTTTAAAAAATTAGCATAGGCGCACATACTATTTAAAATTTAAAAGAAAAAATAAATAAATAAATAAATAACAAATTAAAACATACAGGCTAAAGTATTTTTTCAGCAAAACAATTTACACATTAACATATAGAAAACCTAAACTTTAGGCTTCTTCATAACTTTGACCTGTATGCTGTCCTACTTAAGATGATCTTGAAAAGGCCATTGTTTCTGATTATTTATTTCCGTTTCTGTATCATCATAGTCTTACTAGAGCTTTAATGACTTGCAGTGTCAATCAATTCGCACTGCAAGTCTGCAAGTCATTTTTTGTACTTCATAGCACATAGTTTCTCACCACAGCTTCTGTCTTTAGACAGCTAGACTGTCAATGGAATAACAATTTTTATTAATATTCGGTTTTTCAGTTCACTTACAGCACTGCATCTCTTAAATCAGTAATTTAATCATCATCTCCAACAAGATGATGATCTGAAACCGGTGAGTTAAATAAGTTAGACACAAAATGAGCAGTGCTGTGGTTCCCACCAGGATTGAAAACAACTGTCCTAAATTTTATTGTAGCACACCATTACAGTAAGGTGATGGGGAGAGCAAAAAGACTACTCTAAACATTATACACAATATACAACAGTTAAATTGCAATCTCTTTACTTGATATTTATGATAATGACCTGTATATGATCATTATTTTGATAACATTTGCATATTGGTACACTAATATTACATGACACTTGCTGTTTTTCATGCCATGGTGCCACATTTTTTAAAAAGCTATTAATGGGTGCCACATTTTTAAAAAGCTGTGGAGAACCTGGTGTTCTGTTCCATACCGTAACCTGCTTCAAGTTTTAATTGCACCAATAGGGAAATTCCTGTATTATGAAATTCCTATTATTATGGAATCACATACAGGGTCAAAGGGCATGATTAATTGATTTCTTTCTTTAATTTCCTAATTAATTGCAATAAACTGACATCAATAATTTTATGTTGATTGTAGACACCTACATACAAGATGCAGTTAGTTATCCTCTAGATATTTTGAAGCAGTTTACTTGTACGATAGCAACCAAATCTAATCTGGATAAAAAAAATAAAAAAGAATAGGAACCTAACAACATATAGAAGTCCTTGAAAACAGATCAAAGACTGCTTATTTATAAAGATCAGTGCATTGAATTTCACTTTACCGCAAAATATCTTTAAATAATTTATATAATCTGCTGAACTACAATGCACAAATGTATTGTTGCAACATGTAATACATACTAGCTTAATAATGCATTAAATATGACAAAATATCAAAATATATTTAAAAAATATATACCACTGTTCGCACATACAGCCAATGTTGTGTATTGAATTATTCATTATACCTGAACGTCCTGCTATGTAAGAAAAATGATTTAAAAATCCAAGTCAGTACACTCAGTTAGTTCACAGTACAAAAATAAAACAAAATCTTTATTCTCATAGTTTTAGAACCCTTAAACTTGGTTTGATATGAGTGGGTTGATGTTTTTACAACATGAACAACTTTAAAACAAAGACGCCTGAATTCACGACCACATGGTAAAGTTAAATAGTTACTTCAACTATTTGCAACCCAAAAATTACTTAACAGAAACAGTCAAATTAGTTTGCATAAGTTATGTAAAAGTTAAAGAAAGAAGTACGACTTTCGATTTTCTAGCAGCCTGTCTTTGCTAACAAGACTACAACAGACTAATTATCCGAAATTATACATTATAATTATACACATTTCGAGCAGTCTGTCTCTTTATTCGAGCATGCAAACGTGATACAGTGCACAGCTATAATGTACTTTTTTAGCAACATGACAGCTACTATTCGCTTGCAGCGTTGCAGTCATGTAGACGGGACGATTAGCACTCTGGCTACACGGCTAATGGGATTTACTGCAAAAATAAATGGCAACTAAAGTAAGTCTTTGTGTGGTCTAAATATTAAAAAGCAAAACACTCGCCTCTAAAACTCTCGTAAACGTCAAAAGAATGTAAACATGCGCTCGGTCACATGAAAGCGCACTTTCCCTCGTCTGTGAAACCTCACAGGCAACATTTTTTTCCCCCCTCACAGGCAACATTAAACCACTGTGCCGCCCCTTTAAGGGTTACCACGGAAACAGGTTGCTACGCAGCAAAAACAAAAAAAGTACCAATCGTCGTGACGTCCTTGCGTCAGACGTGCGGGAACGGCGTTTCCACGGCGACGAGACGTTGTATACACACGCAGGGTTGGGTTGTAAACGTCGCGAGATTGTTTGCTTTAAGAATCCGTTTAGTTTATTTTGCATTAAACCACAAAATGTGAGACGGTTAAAGGGCGTTTGTTTGTTATCGTATTGTTTCCCTTCGTCTGTACATTTCTTGACTAGAATGGAAATGTTATGGTGCAGATCAGCGGAACTTAAAGAGACAGTTCACCCAAAATAAAAAGGCATAATTTACTCACACTAATGTTGTTCCAAACATGTATGCATTTATTTCTATTGGTAAACAAAAGACAGAGTGTTGGTGACTGACAGCCTTAGTCACCATTCACTTTCACCATGTTAAAAGTGAATGGTGACTGCGACTGTCATTCTGTCTAACATTACCGTTTGAGGTCTGTGAAAGAAAAAAAAGTGATATAGGGTTGGTGAGTAGCTTAAATGGTGACTTGTCAGCTCAGTCTCAATTTTTTTTCTTAGCTAAATTACATCATAAGCTAACATATGAAACATGCATTAACCAGACTGACTGATGCCCCTCAAACACCTGCCACACTGTTTTAAAGCGAACTATAGATATTTCCCCTATCTAGCTTATCTTTAAGCGTCCCACATATAATTTCTCTGACGTAACCGCCGTTTTTTAATGTTCTGGTGGGTATTGGTAAAATGTTTGCCGCACATAGAAGTACTCCGCATTAGTCATTACTGTTCATTCGTTATAATGTCTGCCACTGGACACGGCGTTCTCCGCCGGTGACGTTCAAGTGCTGCTGACTAATTGTTGTTATCCCCACCCTTCCCCGCCGTCGAGGTGTACAAACACCGGCGTACAAACGTTTTATCTCGCCATATTTTACTTCCCGAGTTCATTTGAGTTTTACCTTCATAACGAGCAGCCACACTCATTTCCTTGCACACAGAAATGAATCACTTTTGTTCCTTCAAGAAATGAATGTGACAGTAGCCTATGTGACACTCACTCTTCCGTCACTGCAGCCCACTGCCCGACTTGGAACTTGTTGGAAGCTTCTTGTAAATGGCGAGGGTATCAGCCTTAATAATGAGCGCTTTGTTTTGCTGAAACTGACCGTATACATTGTATTTCAATAATTTTAAGAATTGGTTTAGTATTCATACTGAGTAAGTGATTGTCTTAAAACTGCCATTTAATAAATAGCCTACCTTTCTTTGAAAATAGCAACGTTGAACCGATTTTGTCGTAGGCTATGTGGTGAGCAGATTTTTATAACACAAATAATAATAACAAAGAATTAGATGCATAGTTCCCAAACTTACCCACAATAGACAACGGTAATGTAAATCTCTGCTCCGACCGGTTCTCAAGACAGTTAGCATTCGAAGGAAGCTCCAGTGTATCGGGGATTCCGTGGGGCGTGTCGGTGAGAAAGTTTACAGTGGAGTCAAAACAGCTAAAAGCGGGTTTCCCTTCTGTGCTTAACTGCTACCTCAGCAAAATATTCTTCAATTAGCTTTACGACTGTTCGTGTGTTTTCTCCTGCTCTGTATTTGTACACATTTCTGCACTATAAACAGTGCACTAAAATTAAAAACATAAATGCTGTTGCCTTGCAGTTGTAAGTAAAACTTGTGTCAAAAGTTAAAACATGCAGCGCAACGTGCAGTGCATTTTATCCACCACTTTTAATTTAATTAATGAAAAATAAAATGAAAATAGCTGTAGAAATCGTGTAGAAGTTATTCTGACTACTTAAATAGATTATGATATTAGCCTACATTATGATATGACATAATGATGATTTTTGTGCAGTCTATAGTTTTTCATAGCCTTCAAGCCAGTACCATGTTTCTTTGTTTGAATAAGATTATTTATTTGTTTAGCATTATCCTGTTTAAATCTGGTGTTTTAATCTCTTGTCTTCGATATTTTGAATAAAAGAGAACATTTTTTAGAGAAAATGGTTTGTTTGAAACTGATAGTGACATAAAAATTACATAAAGCCACTGTTAAGCATAACACATTTTTGACGTAAAAATATTTGCAAACCGTGTCGTTTCTAAATATTGTCGGTGAAAACCATGTAACAATTAAAAATATCTCGTGGAAGTAATAGTAAACGTACCTATTCTTGACCGCGATCGAGCTGTCGCTTTCTGTGGGTGAGGGAATCCCTTACACGTCATATTGCTTGGATACCGAAAACAAAAACAGTGCTTTTGGACCATATATGGGCATCTACGTCAGCGGAACACCAGTAAGAGGAGGAGCCAGGACTCCCTACTTTACAATGCGTTCTCAGGCTTCATTCACAAGAAGAAGCGCTGCTGCCGAAACACCGAACAACCTTCTACTCCCGTTTGTAATAAACACATTCCGGATTATTTTTTATGGATTTATAAATGCACGCATTTCACGGATTGCACCAAGGCCTGGGAAGTGTTATTCAAGGAGAGATTGGAATTTAGAAGTTTCCTCCAGCAGGGAACGGGATTGATGTCTTAATGCAACTGTTTTGGAAAGAGACTAAGGGCATCTTGACGAAGACTCCAAATAAAACTTATTACGGTAGGTGACTTTAATATAACACAAATATTTAAATGTAATGCATCCACTTTTCTCTTTTTATGGTGCATTACGGTTTACAAACGCAAGCGAATAGTTGATGTCCTGACGGAAAAGCGCTTCATGTGACTTCTGTTGGGTGACAGGTGACATCCCGTTCTCGCCGGGCACAGTAGGTGTTTCGGCTTCTCTCGGCTCCACTAGGGAGATGTTTCAGGGGTTCCCCGGAGACCCCGACACCGGCTCCCGTGGAAGCTCATCTCCTTCTCTTGAATCTCAGTACCTGTCGTCCGTGGAATCCTTCGGGAGTCCGCCCACCACCAGCGCACCGCAAGTAAGTCACAGTATTTATTCACATTTAAACATCATGTTTGTCCGTGCAAATAACTGTTTTACTAAACAGCACGGCAGCTGCGAGATTTGCTTGTTTCTGTAAGAGAAGCGGAGCGACGTTGCTGAGGGAATGCATTTGTATTCGTTCGAGTGTGTTTAGAGGTGTAAAGTCGGAATAGAATTCAATCGAATACTGACAAGTCAGCATGCGCGCGGAATCAGGCCGGTAGCAACGTGGTGGGTTTACAGCACGTCGCTAAACAGATGACAAAGCGGTGGAACTCTCCGACGTTCTCACACGAAGCTCCGCCCTGTTTTCAGTGCTGCTGCTCTCGCTTCTCAGACTTCGGCGTGACGTCAATGCGTTCTATTTTGGAGTGTTACGTTGCGTTGCTAAGGGGAACACCGGGGGTGTGACGGGGGCGGAGGAACAGGGACGGGAGGGGCGATTCGAGTCCGGTTATTGGCTACGGCGTACTGCGTACGCCTTTGCCTAACACGCTTTCATATGAATATTAATGAAACATGGAACTCACACTGGCATCACAGGGCCTTTTTTTTCTAAAAAAAAATAAACCGTACAAATATAGATTTTTCTTCTAAATATGTTTTAATAGCTGTGTACAGATATATTGGTAAAACGTAAAATGTATTGTGTACTTGCATTTGGACACCCATTTGTTGGTAATTTGTTGGAATTTTTAAAACAGCTTTAAAACAGAAAATTCTAATAAGAATCCATGTATTTTTCATATTTGTGTTGCTTTTCATTATCCTTACTCTTTTTTTCTGTTTTCATGATCTTTAGTCTGTTATTTGTACATGGAAGAAGATACAGCTTTACAGCAAGTGGTATTTTACTATCATTGATATATTATTATAGTCATTGTCAATATTTTGAAATAGATTTCATTTTTAAAAATTTTCGGTTTTTGTTTTAATTTTATTTATAGTTTTAGTAAATTTGCTATGTGTTTTTGTCATTTTTATAGATTTTTATATGTCCATATAGTTTTTATGATTTTTTTATTTATTAGTTTTAGTTTATTTCATTTGAGTTATTTCAGTACTTCAAGTTGAAGGGATAGTTCACCAAAAATGAAAATTCTGTCATTATTTACGCTGCCTCGTGTCATTCCAAACCTGTATGAGTTTCTTTCTTCTGTTGAATATAAAATATTTTGAAGAATGTGGGTAACCAAACACATTCTGGTCCCCATTGACTCCCATAGATTGGAAACAAAAAACTGTGGAAGTCAATGGCTACAGTCAACTGTTTGATTTCCCACATTCTTTAAAATATCTTCTTTCAGAAGAAAGAAACTCATACAGGTTTGGAACAACTGTATTTCAAGGTGTTTTTCAGGGTGAGAAAATGATGACAGAATTATAATTTTTTGGGTAAACTATCCCCTTAAACTAAACAAAAATGATAAATGTTGCCTTGACTTTTTTTGTATATTTCATTTTATTTCACTCAACGATAATTTTGCTTCGAGTAACAAAATTGGGCTTTTATGGTTTTAGTTTTATTTAACAATAATAGTTTTGTTTACAGCAAGCTGGTGGGGCCCATAGTTAAATACTGTTTATGTTTTTGGTTTCCAGGAGTGTGTATCAGCCACTGGCGTGGTAGGGGTGGGTGGAGGGTCAACCGGCACCGGGGCAGGGGTGGACATGCCCAGCTCATTTGTGCCCACAGTGACGGCCATCACCACCAGCCAGGATCTGCAGTGGATGGTGCAGCCCACTCTCATCTCCTCCGTGGCACCAGGGCAAAGCGGCGCGGGCTCCAGCACCATGACGCAGCCTGTTGCTTTGGATCCTTATGACCTGCCAGGCCCAAGCTTTTCGTCAGGTGGAGGATTCACCCCACCAAGCTCTGATACTCCTGGCACAGTGAGACAGTCTCGGAGCCGTCGCCGTGCACGCGATGAAACGGTGAGTGAGGACCATGACAGAATGGTTAGTCATTTAACATTTTGATAAAAAAAATGTAAAAACTAAATTTGTTCTGTTCCCAGCTGACACCTGAGGAGGAAGAGAAAAGACGTGTTAGACGAGAGAGAAATAAACAGGCTGCCGCTAAGTGTAGGAACCGAAGGCGTGAGCTCACAGACAGGTTACAGTCGGTGAGCGATGCTGTACTCACATATAATTGCACTTGTTACATTACAATATTTCATCCATAATAATAGATGAATGCAAAGGCATCATAATTACTGGATTCATAACATGCCAATCTGCTCATAACAATCATTTTTACAATGATAGTTTGTAAATGATTCCAACACACACATATGCATTCTGCTGCATTGTAATTAGAACAAAGAGTGTATAAACCCACCGTAATTATATTGTGGGAACTGAGTTCCCAATTAAGAAAATGGCATTTTCTCCAAGTTTATTTTGTTGTTGCTCTCTGAAACTATAGCAACATATATTTCTGAAGTAGCTCTGTGCCTGAACAACTATGATAAAAGGAAACCCTTGTTTTTGTCCTCATTTCATGTGATCATATCATCTCTGTCCCCTTGTGTCCTCCTCTTGTCTCTCCAACCTAAGGAGACAGACATGTTGGAGGAGGAGAAGGCCGAGCTCGAGGCCGAAATATCCGAGCTGCAAAAGGAGAAGGAGCGCCTGGAGTTCGTCCTGGTCGCCCACCAACCCGGTTGCAAAATTCCCTATCAGGACCAGCCCCCTGCGCCGCTGCCGCTGCCTCTGCCGCTGCCGCTACCGCAGACATCCCTGCAGACGCCTTCTGTCTCCGTGGTGGGTTTGAGTGTGAAGGAGGACACTTTCTACCTGCCGCCGGCCTACTCGTCCCACCACCACCACCACGTCCCGGTTTCACAGCCCACGCAGACACAGCCGGCCCCAGCACAACAGCAGCAAGGGATGATGCAGGAGGTAGCCTTTTCTAGTTCTTTCTATGGGCAGGGCCAGCCGGCGCCGGACGGCCCGTGCCTTGTTGCCGACGGTGGCGGTAACCCTGACACCGGCAGCTACATCCCCTCATACACATCTTCATTTGTGTTCACCTACCCAGAGGGAGCCTGCGGGGCCAGCGCTAACCAGCGAACCAGCAGCAGCGATCAGTCCTCTGATTCCCTGAACTCACCCTCGCTTCTTGCACTTTGAGAGCTCTGCGTCTCTCTGCCTCTGCTTGCCTGTCGACAGCAACACATGCACACTTACAAGTTCAAACATTCGGTATTACACCTCTCAGACGTTGCACTGATCTTTTACATTAAAGCCTTTCGATTTGAAACCGAGGCCCAGATGCGTTAGCATCTGAGTGACTTCATCAAATGATGTAAGTGTATATTAATTCACAATGAATTCAGGCTTAATATCAAGATGAGTCAGTAGACCATGCACGCACACTCACACACACACATACACACACACACACACACACACACTTAAATTGTCATAGACATTCAAATCCGTTTGACATAACAATAAAAGCACATCAGCGCACTCCCCCTTGCTTTTATCTTTTCTCGTTCTGGCTTACATTGGTGTATCATCTCCCTCCTTCTCTCTCTATCCACGCCAGGTGCCTGCTGTGTATTTGTCTAAGCAAAAAAGGGGGCACAGAACTGCTTTGTGGGTTTTGTTTTTTGTTTCGGGCTACCTTGCTACCCTTTCTTTCTCCATCCAGTTCATCCACACCTCTTCCTGTGACAAAAGGACATGACCACACACTCTACAGTACCTATCTCTCGTTTTTTTTCTCCCTTTGTTGTCCATCTCCACATCTGTTTCTCCTCTCTCCTGTCTCTATGTACCTATGGTTCTCTCTGAAGTCTTCAGCCCCTGAGAGCCTGTTGGACCCTGAAAGCCCATGGAACCTTGAGTGAGTGCCAGCCCACATCCCAACACCACAATTTCCCTTCGCACGGACCATCCCACAGTGGAACCTCAAAATTTCAAAATATCGAAACGAACCAGCCACAGCGCGCAGATCAAATGCCATCTCAGATGCCACCACACTGGCTAAAGGAACGGGACTCTTCATTTCTCCTCAGCACTGAGGATTTGATTTTGGATGAGCGGAGGCACACTGGCTAGACTTTGGCGAGGCCAGCGGAGGAGTTTTGGAGAGCCCTTGGAATGTGGAGGTATGAGATGGTGAGAGTATTCGCATGACCATGCTCTACCTGTCATCTCCCGCTGGTCCTTTGAAAGCTTTCACACCGTGTTCACCCTTTCCCCTTTCTTGAGGAGTTTGTTTGCTTGTTTCATTCTGTGTTTTAATGATAGTATTAACTCCGATCTCAAAAGTGGCTTATCTGATGATAACATAAAAGAGTGGCTCGACACTGTGTTTGAAGAGCATTATAATGAGCAACCAAAAAAAAAAAAAGGACAACCTCTTGGTTTTGGATGTGTGGCCTCTGTGCTTCTTAAAGTCCTTGACATAGTCCTTGAGTTGTGGATGTGGTTTAGCACAGCTCTAGGCTTTGATTGTGAATGGAAGTCACAGAGTACTACATCTCCAGTTGCTTTCTTTCTTTAAGGGGGTTGTTGCTGTTGTTGTTGTTGTTAAAATGGAAAAAAGCACAAATGCCGGCTGCGGACGGAAGGAACACAAACAGTTGCCAACCTAAAGGATGGGATGTGCTTTTGAATATGAACCGTTTACTTTCCTGTGAATGTTTTTGATGTTTTGAGTTACTGATTTTTCATGATGCTTTTTCTCTTTTGCTCTCGATTGTGCTGTTGCTGCCAAATGGAAGAATTTTGTGGGGCTATTAGCTGCTCCTTCTATCTGTTACTGTTGTCTTACTGCAGTTATCACGAATATTGTTATTATGGTTATTATGATTATTTCATAGTTATCTCATGTTGGCAACTAAAAAGGCATGTTGTGCACTATGAACCTTTTTTATGTCTAAAACTATATATATAAAATATATATAAGTATATATTATGTATGCATATATATATACATATTCAGTGTGTATATATATATACAATGATTGTAATGTAATGTATGAATGTTCAGAAAATGTTATTTTTGTCAATGAAGACAGAAGGGAGAGCTTGATGCACTTGGTTTTGGTTCAAACATAGATATTTTTCTAAAAGAACAAAAAATATATTATAATAAACAATAACAGCCCGCCTTTCCCTTAATATGAAAAACATTGTCACTGCCTTTCATTCGAAACGTGTAATATGTATGATGACTGTATTGAAACTGTGGTGCATATAGTGATATATGTATCGCAGATTTGTGCTGTGCTTGATTTGTCAATGAGGTTGGTTCCACAGCCCTTGTTCATCAACCCCTGTGGACAAAACACACTGGACGCAAAAGATCTATAAATGCTTAAATAAATCAATAAATATGCTAAAGAAAAAAAGAAGATATGAATTGAGTGTCTCAATGTATTCTAGATCATCTGATATTCAGCTGTGTTTCTCAAGCAGTGGTATTGATTAATCATGTCCAGTGTGTGCTGTCTGCCCTTTGGCTTTTGTGTGTGTGTGATATTCAGGGCTTGATGGACAACTTTGAACCAGCCCTTATTCATTCATGTTACGGACATGATCAGAAAATGATGCCTGTCGACATCATACACAGATGGGAAGTATTAGATGAGGTCCATTGTTCTTATTAACTTTGGCTTCATCGTGTGGAGTATTTTATGAGGTGGAAATGATAATATTTGTACAGTTGTTTAAATCGAAATGCCTTTTCATGCTACATTTATATACACAGGTGCACCATTGTCTTGTTGGTTGAATTTAGACCCAGAGCATCACATTTAAGCTGAAAAGAGACAACTGCGTGAGCTCTTTCCAACAGAGCCATTTGATGAAATTACGTTCTCATTTGGCATTGAAAACTGAATTAAGGCATCTCGAACAGTGACGTAATGAAGCCAGAGCTGTGATTTCACAAAGTGGGAAGTTATATGATATTAGAAAGCACATTGTCAAACAGCCCCATGCTCCATTACATTGATATCAATTGAACTTTTCTTCAAATAACTTTATTGTGTGTCACAACAGTTTTATGTTGTTTTGATTTTTCAGCTGTTGGTGCTTTTGTTAGGCTACTCCTATGCCAAAACATTTTGTTACTGTATCTGACTCTGATATGATAGCATAAGGAGATGTTGGTTAAATTATACAGTATCAGTGACTCTGTGGTCTTCCACTTTGCAAAAACTCTGTTTAGATTGAGCTGGGTATTTTCAAATTCACAGCGCTTTGAATTGACACAGTGGAATGCAATATATCAGATACTCTGAGAACCATGTAGCAAATCAACTGAATTGTATGATACAAGTCGTTCCTTATGCTACAGTGTCACAGTGAAGAATTGAGACAATTTGTTTTGTCTTTCCAGTTTACCTTACGTATGATTTACTCTGCTGAGACCTCAATGACGGGATGGTTATGCATTATTAGGATGTAAAATGTTAGTACCTCCCGGGCTTCAATGTGAGCGTCATTTGATAGGTGAACTGTTTTACTTTCTAATGCGCATTTGAAGATTGCCTTCAGTATAAAATGAGTGAAATATTAGCCAACTTAGACTAATGTTACAACCACTTGTTCAAAAAACTGAAAAGAAAGAGGGCTGACCTGTTTTTTTGTACGTTTTTTGCCTTTTTTGAAGGGAAATGAAAGTTAGGTGTAAAACGAATCACGTAACATTTCAGAAACGATATGGTGCTTTTTCAATACTGTTTGTCTTTGTATATTCTTGATTAAGAGTGCCGATGACAGAGGTTTCTGGGAGATTTGACGTTATAGGTTTAGGACACTCGTGATTTTAGAGTGCTTTCCTCGCCATGACTGCTCCAAGTTCTCATACAGAACAGCATATTTAATACATACTGAACAACCCTTGTGAATTATATAATCCGCCGTTCTACATTCTTTCTCTTTTCACCCTTTCTCCATTTCATTTCACTTTATGCTATATTTCTAGCCCTTTAATGAATGGGTAAGGACTTTTCATATCGTTACATAGACTGTGAAATCTTGGTGTACTGTCCTATCTTAATATCTTTGTATGACGTCCAATTTTTCTTGTAAAGGAAATGTCTACAAAATAAACATATACATAAAGAGTTACTATCTGTTCGTTTGCCAAACTTTAATCTATTAAGTCTGTAGAAAATGTAGCTCAATGTACTTTGTTAATATTAACGAATTTTCTGCATTTATATTTTGATTTATGCATTGAATTGTGTTGTATTTTAGGTTTGAAGGAATTGCCTGTAAGTGGTAATGCCCTGGCAGAAAATTACCAGGATCTTTTCCGTTTTTCCACTTAATTATTATTATTATTATTATTTTTATTTTTTTTACATCTCAGTAGAAAAAGTAAAAATCGATTAAAATAAGTAATTATGCTTATATATATAACAGCACAATATTCTACAAATAATATTTTACAAATATTTAATGCACAAGGATGATTATATTTGGGGGTCTAAAAGACTGAAACCCCGTGACACGCAATCAGGGACATGGAATTAATTAAATTTTGCCGCCCTCTAGTGGATAAAATAGAAATAGCACGTTGCATTATACAAATAGCCAGACCTTAAATTAGAGTATTTTTTACCAAAAAAATGACAATATTATCATCATTTGTTTACCCTGATGTTGTTATAAGGCCGTAAGACTTTTTTCACGGATAAAAAAGAAAAGGAAGGATGTCACCATTCACTTGTATTGCATCAATTTTCCATATAATAAAAGGTGACCGAAGCTGTCATGGATAATTCCACTTAATAACAAACGTCCAATTGTTTTGTTGCCGCTTGCCGGTATTTACACACAAACTGACCCACCGGAGCAACAGAACGTTGAATAAGACATGTTTTGGAGCCAGTGATTGCTCGGTTCATTCGGAACATTCGGGTCAGTCGATTTGTTCCGAAGACGGAGAGGATGTTACGTCACAATATTTCCGCAACGCGTCGGTTTTTCCCTGGGAAGATGGCGACCGTTACAACAGGTAAGAGACAGAAATGACCCTTATGTATGGAATATGGTCACTGTACAGCTCCGCAAAGACGCTTAAATCAACATTTAACTACCTGTGGTGGGAAATTCAGAGGAGAATGTCTTGTGGAGGTTAAGATAAGTTATTCACGAAGAGCTAAAGCGCAATACTGCGGCGTGGTTCAATGAAAACAGGCCACGCACTGCATTACTATTGTCTCGTTATGACACAACATTGTTATTTAAATGCTATTTATATCACACAGATGTGCTTTCATATATCATATTAGCGATTAAAGGGAAATATTTTTATATCGTATAATTTAGTAAAAGTCATTCTACCTGGTCTTACTGTATGTACACCTGTTTATAAAGCAGTCCCTTAAAATGATTGTGGCAGAAAGTATGTGTAGACCAAGAACTGTTTTATTCTTCGCTGGGAAAACACACACACACACACATTTGTAAAATGCCAAAACTGGTTTGCTGGTTTGCAGTCTCCCAGACTGGTCAGATTGGTCTGTTGGCTGATTTAAGAAGGATTTTGGCAACTTTTCAGCTGTGAGGCCAGTTTGCTGACCAGCTAAACCAGCTGCACTTGACCAGTCTTTAAGATCAACTTTGACCAGCAAACCATTTTAGGTGGTTTGAAATGTTGTTGTTTTTTTCAGAAATGTACGGTAATAAACAGTTATTAATATTGTATTCTCTAGTGTGCACTAGACTGCACTAAGACTGAAGTACTGAACACTGAATGTTAAACCAGTTAATCCTAAATGGACATTTCTTTTGTAAATTAATTTTGACTATCCATTCAGATAGTTTTGTTCAGCTTGTGAACAGCCTTAAACAGGAGAATTCATTTAACGACACGAGACTCATGGCTTTAAAAATAATATTCATGCAGCTGCTCTGGCTGACCATGTGCTCTCTCTTTGTCATGCATGTCCCATACGCTGCTGACCTCCTTTCCATGTTGGGTCTGCAACATTTTTCGTTTGTCTCCTAGAATTAGTCTGTTTTAACCTTTATGTAGTTGTTTTTCCTGACCATATGAAAACACACACAGTGTCATCCAGTTAATGTCAAATATGAAAATAAATAAAAAAATTCTCTATCTAACTTCTCGATCCGCTAACAGTTCACAGTATTGTCTGCAAATGCTAACCCATTCTAAACAAATAAGCTACAAAATATAGTATTGTTTCTATATCAACAGATAAAATGGTGCTCTTGACCATAATATGTGTAACATTGCTGACAGCTTTAATTTTAGTCACAAAAATTTACACATTTCTCTTTAAAAATGTATGTTATTCTTTAGTGCATATAATCACTGTTTTCTTTGCTGCTTTAGTCACCTCAGAATGGATCCAGTTCTTCAAAGATGCTGGGATCCCTCCTGGACTGGCTGTCAACTACGCTGTGTCATTTGTTGATAACAGGTAAAAATAAATCATTGCCTTTCACTGGCTATGTTTACATGCAACCAAATAATCCATTAGTTATCGGATTGATGGTTCAATCGGACTGAAAAGCCTTCATGTAAACACCTTAAGTGATCTGAGCTTTTAGGTCTGAACTTTTATGTGCTCTTCGTCTCCTAATTAGGACCCAAGATAATATTAAGTCTGCTCTTTTAAACAAAGAAAATAAGTGATGGTAGGAGAATAGTATGTGCAAACTGCGGAAAACTTTGTATATTTGTGCAGTGTGCGTGTGTCAAAAGATCAAATCTGAAATGAAGCTTATGACATAAATGTGCACATCAACCCAATTTATTTAGACGCTACGTTCAGATTCATCAATCAGAATGATTTAATTCCGAATGAAACAAAAGGTGTCCATGTAAATGAAGCCACTATAGTGAACCTGTCCAAACAGACATGAACTGGTTCATCTGGTTCAGTACAGAATCGATCTCGGTCTGCTTATGTGTGCTTTAATTGCTGGATGTTTTCTCACCATTTTTGAACAGTCAAAATCTGGCCTTCCATGTAAACACCTTAAGTGATCTGAACTTTTAGGTCTGAACTTTTATGTGCTCTTCGTCTCCTAATTAGGACCCAAGATAAATATTAAGTCTGCTCTTTTAAACAAAGAAAATAAGTGATGGTAGGAGAATAGTATGTGCAAACTGCGGAAAACTTTGTATATTTGTGCAGTGTGCGTGTGTCAAAAGATCAAATCTGAAATGAAGCTTATGACATAAATGTGCACATCAACCCAATTTATTTAGACGCTACGTTCAGATTCATCAATCAGAATGATTTAATTCCGAATGAAACAAAAGGTGTCCATGTAAATGAAGCCACTATAGTGAACCTGTCCAAACAGACATGAACTGGTTCATCTGGTTCAGTACAGAATCGATCTCGGTCTGCTTATGTGTGCTTTAATTGCTGGATTAAGTCTGCTCTTTTAAACAAAGAAAATAAGTGATGGTAGGAGAATAGTATGTGCAAACTGCGGAAAACTTTGTATATTTGTGCCGTGTGCGTGTGTCAAAAGATCAAATCTGAAATGAAGCTTATGACATATAAATGTGCACATCAACCCAATTTATTTAGACGCTACGTTCAGATTCATCAATCAGAATGATTTAATTCCGAATGAAACAAAAGGTGTCCATGTAAATGAAGCCACTATAGTGAACCTGTCCAAACAGACATGAACTGGTTCATCTGGTTCAGTACAGAATCGATCTCGGTCTGCTTATGTGTGCTTTAATTGCTGGATGTTTTCTCACCATTTTTGAACAGTCAAAATCTGGCCTTCTCTAAAATGTGAACAAACAACATTCTGAACAAAAGGTTACTCCTGTACAGCACAACTGGATGCTGTAAAAGTATCAACTACTTTTCTCTTTTCAGGATTCAGAAAAGCATGCTCCTGGACCTCAGTAAGGAAATAATGATGGACTTGGGAATCACAGTCATTGGGGACATCATAGCCATTCTCAAACATGCAAAGCATATGTATAGACAGGTGAGTGCAAATGTTAATTTCTAGTATTTGGGTATATAAATGCTGCCAAAAGTAAAATATGTCTTCTGGTGAAACAATAATTTGCTAAAATTTTGTTTTCTGATAACAGTCTACAATTGACAGATTACTTTGTGTTGTTTAAAAAATACACACACACACACACACACACACAGTGGAGATGTGGAGATCAAAATTAGAGAACAATATATAAATAATTGATTTTTTTTCTGAAATATTGTTAATCTTAATTGCTCAAAATTTAAAGGAATATTAGCTGTAGGTATACCACTGTTCTACTAACATGTTTGACAAAATAATAAAATTTAGAGAACAGTAACCACTGTAGCACGAAAGAAGATTACAACAAAAAATTTGGAGGGTTGCAGCTGTCAGAAATTAATAGAAATTGTAGAGGCTCCTGCTTTGAGTGACTTCAGCACATCTGCGGCTGCAGGACATCACTAGTTCTCACACTGCGCTGGTGTGATCTCGGTCCACTCTTCTTCCAGTATCTTCCATAGTTCGGTAACTGTAGTGGGTTTCTTGGCCATAACTTTGTGGCCAAGGTTTTTCCAAAGATTTTCAATTGGGTTTAGATTAGGACTCTGGGCTGGCCATTTCTTTATTTCAAGAAATAGAGTAAAGGAGCTGCTTTACACATTTTGCAGTGTGACGGGGACAAAATTACAGGCTGATTGGGAAATGCTTGTAAGGAAGGAACTGCATGTTGCTGAAGGAGGTTCTGATTAACACTTGCATTCACTCTGTCATGTAGCTGTATAAGAGGCCCAACTCCTGCTGCACAAAACATCTCCCAAACTAAGACACTTCCTTCTACACCTTTCACTGACTTCTTTACGCACTCGGGGTTCAGTCTTTCCTCAGTTTGACACTGAACAAAATGTTTCCCATCAGACCCAAATTAATTAAACTTACTCTCATCACTGAAGTGAACTTTAGACCAGTTCTCTTCTCTCCACACAACATGCTCCTCAGCAAAGGTGAGCCTAGCCTTTTGATTCTTTCTGCTGATGAGAGGCTTCGTCACTGCAGTGTGCGCTTTCAGTCCGACTTCTTTTAAACGTGCCGAGACAGATTCTTACCCTTTTCAGCTCTGAACTGGTGAGCAATTCCAGCTGCAGTGTTGAACCGATTCCCCATTGAGAGTTTCCACATTATCCTGTCTTCTCGTGCATTTGTCTTACGTGTACGACCAGCCTTTTTGGGGGACTTGAATGAATTAGTGTCATTGTAAACCTGCAATATTCTAGAAATCACAGATTTGGAATGACCAACTTCTCGTGCGATGGCTAAAAGGGTCAACCCTTTGGCATTTATCTGGACAACCTCCTGTCACAGGATTTCAGTCACCTTAGAGCATCTTGCAATCTCAGTGAAAATTGGAGGAATGCTGCCAGTTAAATATGGTTTGTCATATAATTAAGGAAATTAGATGAATTAGTGTCATTGTAAACCTGCAATATTCTAGAAATCACAGATTTGGAATGACCAACTTCTCGTGCGATGGCTAAAAGGGTCAACCCTTTGGCATTTATCTGGACAACCTCCTGTCACAGGATTTCAGTCACCTTAGAGCATCTTGCAATCTCAGTGAAAATTGGAGGAATGCTGCCAGTTAAATAAGGGTTGTCATATAATTAAGGAGATTAGCATGATTTGGCAGATTAACACCAATAACTTGGAGGTATCTGTAAGTGTTCTCTAATTTTCATCTTTTAGGAATTTAGGAAATTGTAGGTTGTTCTCTAATTTTGATCTCCACTGTGTGTGTGAATATATATATATATATATATATATATATATACACACAATATAATAGAGAGAGTCATACAAAAATATTGTCCGCTGCAACCTTTTACAAAATTATTGCTGATTGTGTCTGTTAAATGAATTATGCATCTGACATCTTATCTGCTGAGCTGATCTTCCATCCCCTTTCGGTTTGAGGAAGGATCTGTTTTGGATCAAAAGTTTGATGGCATTAGATGCAGTGTACTCACTTTTGTGGCCAGCGGTTTAGACATTAATGGCTGTGTGTTGAGTTATTTTGAGGGGGCAGCAAATTTACACTGTTATACAAGCTGTACACTCACTACTTTACATTGTAGCAAAGTGCCATTTCTTCAGTGTTGTCACATGAAAAGGTATAATAAAATGTGAGGGGTGTACTCACTTCTGTGAGATACTGTATATATAATTCTTTATTTTTATTTCTTTATTTTTTTGAACATGATCATCCCTTCCTCTTTACTAGTTATATCACAAAATACATGATACACATGTACACCTCATGTCTCAGCTCGTTAGTTCGCTAGAAAAATTAAGTCTACAGAAGAGCATTTGATTAAACATATGCACTATTTTAGCTTAGAATCGTTATATTTTATTTAACCTGTTAGTGATGTCTTAATTATTTAAATTGTTTGAATAAATCAGTCAAACAAATGACAGATTATGATAGCCACTGTGTAAATGATTATATTTCAACAACGAATTGGAGTAAATGTGATTTTCTAATTTATTTTACAATTTAACATAATTTGTTTTCTGTGCAATTTACATGTTTGCAGATATTTATTTTTAACATTATTCTATTCAATTCACTTTTATTGTTGGAATTTCATCCAAAAATTGTCTTGCACCCCATGGCCTACACTGTCTCTCTTTCAATACACTACAAAACAAAATCCATACAGTTACAGCCCAATGAACACCAATAATAATAGCAACACATAAATACATTATTAACTGCAATACTTTACAGTGAACACTTCCACGTTTATTATATTATATTATATTATATAAAATAATATTATATTATATCATCTAAAAATGTAAGTTTTCGCTGTATTGTTAATTGTAACCTATAGTAATGTGTAAGTAATAGGGCTCCCTATATAGTTTACAGCATTAGCAAAGATACATTTTTTTTTTCCTTAGGAAAATTTTATTATAATTGAATTTATTTAAAGACTGAGCATCAATTTGTTCAGTAAACCACTGTTTAATGCAAAAAAAAACCGAGGTATGTACCGACAACTTTACATAAAAACATTATATCTACCGTCATCAGCAGCCCTGGGGTCCATTCTTCGTACCTTGCTTAATACATCTGAGATAATTTGACACATCCCAGATCTTTTAATCATGATAACTGATCTTTGGCTAATTAGGTTCTTCATACCAGTTAGCGTATTTGATTAAAATATCTGGATTAAGTTGTCTGAGATTACTCCCTGTTGACATGTTCATTGGAAATCATGATCAGTAATGCCGTGATTGGCTGGCGGCAAGACAGCAACGTAATGACATCATATAATTAAGATCAAGGAAACCGCCCAGCCAGCAAAATGACAAAAAACGGTTACACATTTTATTTATGTATTAGAAATTTTAAGCGATTCAAAATAATTTTTCATAATTTCTAGAATTTGTACAGGCTTTGCATTTTTCAGTGTCAAGAGCATTGTAATTAACAATTCATTTAATTTTGAAGTGGATTTGTTATACGTAGCAGCATTAATTAAAGTTTCTTAATCCATAATGATCTATTAAGACATAACTGACTGTTTAAATTAATGGTGCATCATAAAAGCTTTTTGAGATTTGAGAAGTGAATCTGCATCTCCTGTGATGCATCAAAGCTCACCATTCAAATGAATGCACGGCTCAGACAACCTGTACGTAATGTGTGCATGACTGCAATAAAATTGAGATAATTATTCCTTCACGAAAAAATCTCTCATTAAGTAAAACTGGTTGTGTCTATTATTATAGATATGCAACATTAATTATTTTCAAAATAATGTAAAAATTATCTTTTAAAATAATTTTTCCTGAAAATAATTTTTCCTGGTTTAATAAGGTACACTTATAAGAAATTAGCAGTGGCTGAGACAGACTTTCAGTATCATCTTCACTTAAAATGATACAATCTAGTCCTGTTTACATGAAATAAGCCTGCTCCCGAGCAGGTTTGAGCTAACAGGCTTACTATGTTACTTTTACTTACTAATCTGTTACTATGACAGCAACTCCGGGATGAGCTTCGAAGAACCTAACATTCTTGGATCATGTCAAATCGTCAACAGTAAAATCCAGCTAACTGAGTAATCCACGTACGAAGAACAAACCCCTGGTCTCTAGATACTGGTTATCAGCATTTGTTGATCACTAGAGGTTTTGTCTTTCATGCATACCCGTGCATTGGCATGCTTCATTATTCTAAATGTGAAATAATGATCTTTTATCCTCTTAATGCAGGGTATGTGTAAAATGACAACTGAGGCCATTTCGTCTGGACAGACTAGTGTACAGGCTGAACTGAGACGTACTGCTAACACTCGTAAGTATTGTAAGTATTAAGTTGTTTTGCATATATAAATGTTTGTACCTTGTGTCCTTAATTGACAGTTTCCCTGCAGTTCTTCTACTGGTTGCTCATACAGGGAGTGAGTTATCTTTGTTTGAGTGGGCTGAAGCTGTAGCTCTGGTAATGTTCATGTTCCCCTGACAGCTGCCACACGCATGATCGCCAATGCTCTGAGCCGGGACTCCCCACCAAGTACGCCTGCCCGGCACCCTGACAACCGAATTTCTGTAACGGTCTCCAACGCCAGTGCTAAAACAGGTACATACTGTGATGCCGTGTCACAGCGCGACGAGACAAAACCTGTAAAACCCATTATAAACGAGGCATTTATTGCATCCTGTGGGACATAATTACGGATTATAATGACTTATACTGTCTTTTTACGCGTTGCGTTGCATCTCGCCGCGTAAACATAAAACCATGTCTGCATTTGTGATCTGAGAAATGACAAACAACAAGCGCTACTCTACACTGCTCAAAACTGCGCTACTCTACACTGCTCAAAACTCGCGTTTGAATCGTCAGTGGCAAATTTTTTAAATATGAAAACGTACTTACAGACTGTGAGTCAGCATTATTTGTCAGAACCACCGGCATTGTAGGCTACTCTCCCAGGAAACAGTCCTCGTCCTCCGTCAAATGCGTTGCGCACGCACAAATATATGGGTTAAACTGTTCTGGAACAGTGTTGTAAATACAACTTAACCACTGATTATTAGTCGTGTCCTCTTTTGGGACCAAACAAAGTAGTTTCGATTTCACAACGAGAAACACAGTGTCTCCACGACATGGCGGCGGCGGCGGTAACAATACTACAGCGAGAATCAAAGTTACGCCTTCTTTCTTTGCGTGAACATTTGGGCGGTGTTATGCAAATCTTCCCACATCGTGACGTAGACATGTGGGGGCGTGTTAGAACGAGCCGTTTTAGGTAGGCGTGGTTGACTCTTAACTTTTATAAAGAATATCTCTTTGG